TTTTTTTTTTTTTTTTTTTTTTTTTTTTTTTTTGAGACAGGGTCTCTCTGTGTAGCTCTGTTTGACCTGGAACTCTCTGGGTAGATCAGGCTGACCGAGATACACCTGCATCTGTCTCCCAAGTGCTGGAATTAAAGATGCATGCCACCACATCTGGCCCTATATTTTTTTTGTTTTTGTTTTTGAGGGACGGTCTCACCCTGGAGCCTGGGTTGGTTTTGAGCTAATGAGACTCATTCCTAAGCCTCCCAAGTTCTGGATTGTAACCTGAGCCACCACTTCCGTGGGCTTTGAGAGCATGCCAAATTTCAAGTTCTGCCACCAAAAGCTGTCCCAGTGGCTAGTTAGATGACAATTAAGGAGGTCAGGTGACATAGGATGATCACCTTATGACATTTTCTCTTCTTGGAAGAGAGCAAGTTTGGTTACTATTTAGTGTGAAAACCCACCAAGCCCTTAGCTCTGGGCTCTCAGCCACAGCACAATCTATGAGACATGGCCCTTATTTCGTCCCATTTTGTAGCATGGGCCAGGCCAGTTGATAACGGAATATTAATATTCTTCTGTTTGCTGTGTTCCTGGAATAAACTGTGTTGTTTTGATGCATTGTTCATTCAGTCCCCCCTTGTTCCTTTTGGGTGTAGTGATGGTTTAAGTCTCAACCACTTCCAGTGTGAGGGGGCAGACATAAGTGTGGAAGCTAGACGCCAACATGGCGTCTTCTTCAATAGCTTTTGCACTCTATTTTAACTTGCTTATGTTTTGTTTAGTATTATTGTGTGCAAGACCGGGAGTGCGTGTGTGCCCTGGCACACGTGGAGGTTAGAGGAGCCTTTCAGGAATCAGTTCTTTCCCTCCCCCCAGCAGCCTCGGATTGAATTCACGTCTCCAGGTTTATGAAGCAGGTGCCTTTACCCTCTGATCCATCTTGCCTGGCCTCCGACTTATTTATTTATTAATTTTTTTTAGTGACGACGAGGTCTCTTCACTAAACCTGGAGCTCACCAATTGACTAGATTAAGAGACCAGCCCTCTCCAGCTGTAGAATTATAGGTACATTGCTTCTTGAATTTTTATGTAGGTGTACCACAGCTCCTAGAATTTTACGTGGGGACATCCACTCAGGCCCTTGTGCTTGTGCACCAAGCGTGTTACTGGCTGGATCATTTCCTCGACCTGGACATGCTATTTTGGATGTGGGGCCTGGATGGCATAAGTAGGTCATGAAGGATGGGCCTCTGAAGATTATACCAGGGCCCTGGTTCCAGCATCCTCCCTGCTTCCCTGTGTGCAGTGTGGGCAAAACCTTCCTGTACTCCAACCCTGCCCTTCCGCAGGATGGACTGAGAGTCTAAACGGCCCAGATAATCCTTTATTCTCGTGAACTGTTTCTGCCAGGAGTTCTGCCGTTGTGCAGCAGAAGGCGCTGATAGAGGTACCAAGTTCCGGAATTGTAGTAAGTCCACCCACTTCTCCATTAAGCCATCATTTTTTTAAAGAATTTTTTATGATTTATTTAACTTTATTTTATGTATGTTGGTGTGAAGTTCTCAGATCCCCTGGAACTGGAGTTACAGACAGTTGTGAGTTGTCATGTGGGTACTAGGAATTGAACCCAGGTCCTCTGGAAGAGTAGTCGGTGCTCTTAACCACCAACCCATCTCTCCAGCCCCAAGTCATCATTTTCAAATGTTACTCTTTGCCACCCTCTGAGACCTATATTCTACAGCATCCGAGGCCACACACACCCTTTATTCACCACTTAGAATAGTGAAATGGTCTCTAAATGATGCTGTACTTAAAGATAGCACACTGTTGATGCTGTTGTTTTCATGGTGGGTCTCTCTGTAACCCAGGCTGGCCGAGAACTCAGCAGTCCTCCTGCCTCAGCCTCACAAGTGTTGGGGTTGCAGGCCCAAGCCACCACACTGTTTGTGCTGTACTATGAATCAGACTCGGCTTTGTGCACGTCAGGCAAACACTCAGCCAACTGAGCTGTGCCACCAGCCCAGAAAGTTCCAAAATCAGCAATTTCAGGTACTATTTAACCTGTATTTGTTTTTTTTCTATGTTTAGAATTTAAAATGTTGCAAGGAGGGCCTGGAGAGAGAACTCACTAGCTAAGCGCACTTGCAGTTGTGGCAAAGGATCAGGGTTCAGATCCCAGCATCCTTACAGTGGCTCACAACCATCTGTAGCCCAGTTCCAAGGGGTCTGACACTCTCTTCTGACCTTTCTGGGTACTGGACTTGTATATGGTGAGCATACATGCATGCAGACAAAACATTCATATACAAAAATAAATAAATAAATCTTTAAAAATCTTGCAAGGGACATGAGTTCCTTGTTAAAAGTTTTCTTGTAGGGAGGCCTTTCAACCCCAAATTCCAAATCCCTGACAGTTTTGTTTGCACAGTATATGTCCTCTTCTGTTGACTGAGCAAGGTCTCCGTTTTATTTCGGTGGCCACTACTTCCTACCCTTGCTGTGAGGAAGGCATGCTTGTCTTCCTGGTAAAGATGATCCTCTCCAAACACTGGCCAGAAGTATCACAGTCCCCTAGAGCAATGGTTCTCAACCTCCCTGATGCTTTGATCTTTTAATGCAGTTCCTCATGTTGTAGTGACCCCCCAACATAAAATTATTTTCATTGCTACTTCATAACTGTAATTTTACATTTATCAATCATAATGTAAATATCTGTGTTTTCTGATGGTCTTAGGCAGCCAACTCTGTGAAAGGGTTGTTCGCTCAGCCCCCAATGGGGTCACGGCCCACAGGTTAAGAACAGCTGACCTAGGGAAGAGGCACCAAAACTAGCAACATCTGCCTCCCATTTCTGGCTTTGATTTTTGTTGTCGTTGTTTTGAGACAGAGTCTATACATGCAAGGCTGGCCTTAAACTCATGGTCTTCTTACTTTAGCCTCCAAAGTAGCAGCTTACTGGTATATACAGCATCACAGCCAGCTTTGCCTCCAGCTTTCAACAGTGGACCACCCCCCACAGCCACCCCCAGTCCCGTGACATCACTGCTTCCCCTACTTCTCAACTTCAGGTCAGCAAGTAGCAGATATTTTTCATATAGTTTGAGGTAGTTGACTTTCTGCTGTTGTGACAAAAGATCTGATACAGTCAACTTAAAAAGAAGAAAAGGAAGCTGGGCAATGGTGGCACACACCTTTAATCCTCAGCTCTTGGAGGCAAACACAGGCGGATCTCTGTTAGTTCAAGACCAGCCTGGTCTATAGAATGAGTTCCAGGAAAGACTCCAAAGCTACAGAGAAACCCTGACTTGAAAAACCAAAAACCAAAGAAGAAGAAGGAGGAGGAGGAAGGTGGAGGAAGAGGAGGAAGAAGGAGGAGCGAGAGAAGGAGAAGAAAGAGAAGGAGGAGGTGGAGGAGGAGGAGGAGGAGGGTTGGGGATGTATCTCAGTGGTAGAGAGCTTGTTTAAGCATGCATGATATGTCTGAGACCATCCTGAGTGTCACAGAGAAGGAAGGTGAGGGGTCAGGGAGGCAGTGTTAGAAGTGGGGGAGGAAATGCAGACTCAGGAGATGGCTGGTTCTCAAAGGTTTCAGGTTTGGAATGGGGAACACTGAATTAGGTGAGCTATTGACACATAGCTAGACAGCCTTTGGAGGTTTCTGAGGGGAGTTTGGGCCTGTGAAGCATAGCAGAAGTCCTCTCCCATAAGATTCAGAGGCAGGAGGCAGGCGCTATGTCACGTGATTGATGAGTGGTCTGTAGCGTGTGCTTGCTGGCAGCCAGGCCTTGTCTGGTACAACAGCGCAGGGTGAGAACAAGAATCCAGAAGAACAACTTATTTTCATTCTGAAGCACAAATTATTGTAATTTTGGTCATTATCACTGTTCGATCAAAATGGAGGAGCTTTACAAAATGGCTGGACTGTGACTAACAAGTTCCATGTAGGAACTGAGTGAAGGAGCATCCAGGATGTGCGAGAAGGGATGGCTCAGACACCAGAAGACAGCACTCAGCAAAGGGCGCTTGACTGATGGGGTTGAACGCTTGAGAGGCATTCTTGTATCTATGCAGAAGCTGATGTAGGAAAAAATCAGCATTAAAGACAAGCAGATGAAAAACTCTTAAAAAGAAAAAAATGTAGAAAGAGAAAATATAATTCATGGATGTGTTATATTTGCAACTATTTGTAAATTACTGCCAATGATGGTTAAAGATTTAATCAAAGGTACCAAGATCTGCTTGGAAGATTAGTGAAGGGCAAGTGTGTGGGGAAGGGAAGAAAGGTGAAGATCAAAGTCCCTTCCCACAGATGGAGGCGCCCACTGCCCCAGATGGAAGCTCTGGACCTGGGAACTTGAGTTCCCTGTTCCCTGGCAGGTCTGTGTAGACTGCACAGGAGGGCTCATCACGTCTAGTTTCCGTGTAGTTTGGCCAATAGTCAGGCCAGGTAGGAGACAAGATGGATAGGAGGGGTCGATTCTACCTCATGGTCATATAAGATTTCTCTAGAATGTTCCCACCCACCCCACCCCCTGCTCCAGTAACCATTCCGGCTCCTTACTCTACACCTCCGTGATGTGGACCTGGCTACCTGGATGCTCTCTTTCTGATTTTACATCATGAACAAGGCTGTCAATTATCTTCCTGAAGATAACATCCTCACTGTTGCCTTGTCTCTTCAGGGTGTTGTTCCCCAGTGTTCTTTACTTAGTTTCCTTAACCCAGTTGGAGTTGAGAGTCCCTAATGGCTTTCCAACAAAACCCCTCTGACTTAGATTGGCCTTTCGCCTCCCTGTGTCAATAGCCATGAAGTCTAATTGAAGCCATTCTGTTCCCAGGCAAGGGATGCTGTGTGGGTATCCATATGCCAAGCGTATGTGGTTTAGTCATTTGTGTATCCCCTGGGGCCTGTTTCCTACCAGACACCAATTAAAGGCGGTTAGGCAAATGCATTTCTGCCATTACCAACTCTGTCTGTCCCCAGCACTGTCTTGAAAGCTCCAGTCCTGGTTTCTCCTAGAAATCGATTTCCCAGAAACTATTCCTTAGATGAAAATAACACCGCACGAGGGATTAGTAAAGCATTTAAAGGCCAGTGAGCAAGGTGCCCGAAGGAGAAAAGGGACAAAGCATTGTCATCTAGAATCAATTAATGGCCTCTGGGACAAGGCATTTGTCAAAACAATCTCCAGAACAAAGCAAAAGGATGCCTCTTAAGGTTCAGAGAGAGAATACCCTGAAGGAATAACATCAAAATACACCTTCTAAAACTCTGTGACAGAAATGGGATTAAGGCTTCACAGTTGTCCTTGGAAGTCTCTAGAAAGATAGCAGAGGGTTAATGCAGACTTCCCTGGTGCTAATGAGACAGCAGAGAGGGGAGTGAGCAGCTGGTCACACCTAATGCAGAGAAATGAGCAGTTTCAACCCATGTCCTCCACCAGCAGAGGTTCACAAGGGACCACTCTGAACCTTAGGCCACTGGTTTGCAGAAACAAACCACAGAGGGCCAGGCTGGAGAAATCCAAAACCAGGGTTAAAGATGGGACAACAACGGCTTCATCATATAATGTGAATGTCTAAGGGCTGGAGAGATGGCTCAGTGGGTGAAGGTACTTGTCAAATCTGCTGGCTTGAGTTTAATCTCTGGGACTCACATGGTGGAAAGAGGGAGGAGGTGGAGAACTGACCGTGGCAAGCTGCCCTTGGACCTCCATGTGCACACCTTGGTACCCCCATACACACTCACACACACACATACACACACAAATAGGTGTAATAAAATATAAATAAAGTAAGCATTTAGGATTATTAAGACTAAGGTCACTAATTTATGGGCGTAATCACTTGATGGATTACTTGAAGATTACTTGAATAAAAACAACCACAAATGCAGAAATCTAGAGATAATCTCAGAGGGAGCCTTCCTTGTCTTCACTGTCTTTGATTCCTACCTAACGTAGAATTAATAAATCCTCTTCTTCGTCCTGCCACAGATACAGATACTGATTTTTTATTAAATATTACTAAAATTAAATTTTGAACCATGCTCAAACAAAACACTGCTTTGGGATATTAATAATTGCCAGAATACCTGAGAGCATCCTACCTGCTGATAACGCACAAAGGAATGACATAGACAATTTATCCTAAGTGGAGTTTTAGTGTTCAAGCCACCCCTCCCCTGGATGCCATTCGAGGACCAGATGCATGCAGTAAGAAAGCAGTGATTCCTTCACACACATACTCAGAACATTGTGATTGCAAATGCTTGCTCTTCTTTTTAAACGTGTACTTATTTATTATGTGTATTTGCTTTTTGTTGTTGTTTCTTTATATTGAGACAGAATCTCACTATGTTGTTCTGGGCAACCTGGAACTTGCTATTATAGACCAGGCTGGCACTGAACTCACAGATTAACCTGCCTCTGTCACCCAAGTGCTGGGATTAAAGGCCTGCACCACCACCGCCCGGCTCATTTTTTTTTTCTTTTAAACATGAGTGTTGGGGATTCAAACTCAGTCCTTGATGCTTGCACAGCAAATGCTTTTTTTTTTAATCCTCTGAGTCACCTCTTTTTTCACTCACCAAACTTCTCCAAGCCTCTGTTACAAATGCATATTTAGTGACATTTCTCTTTTCCTCATGAAAGGGTTTTATGAGAACTGAGACAGTATGCACCAGTAACAGTAGTGGTGGCGGATGTGGGCAGATTATTTTTATTTAATATTTTTTGAGACAAAGTCCCGTAGCTCAGGCCCTCAGTTCCCAGGTGACGAATTTAGGCGTACACTCACTGTTATGCAGAGTCTTTCCTAAGGGACAGAGAGCCTGCAAATGATCAGAGGGGAGTCAGTCCCCACCCTTAGCGCAGGAGCTCTGTACTGCCAGCGCCCTCCAGGCAGCGCGGGAGGTGCCGACACACAAACTTCCTGATCATGCCCAGGATCCTTCCCCTGAAGTATGTGGAGCTACAGATCTATGACTACACCAAGCGCATCCTTCGGGTTAGGACAGTGACCGAGAAGATCTACTACCTGAGGCTCCACGAGAAACATCCACAGGCCGTGTTTCAGTTCTGGATCCGCTTGGTGAAAATTTTGCAGAAAGGTCTGTCTATCACCACCAAAGACCCGAGGATCCAGTTCACTCACTGCCTGGTGCCCAAGATACCCAACCCCTCCGTGGAAACAACAGTAAGTGGGGGCGCCCCCCAGCGTCTGCAGGGAAGGAAACAGAGAGAGCGTGTTTCCATGTAACCTACTCCTGCACACAGAATGCTCACACATGCAAATGGACACTTGGCAGGTCCCCCATCCACGATTCCACTCCACACCTTGGGTCAGAAATATTCAGGAGAAAATATTGTGCCCTTGCCGTGGTTCCCCGAACAATACAGGAGAGCAGCTACTTGCATGGCGTTGTGTTATGTGAGGCACGTGCCAAAGCTCCGTCTTTGGAATAAGGAACTTGAGTAAAGTGGATTTGGATACTGGATGGTAGATCCTGGAACCGATCCCCGTGGATCTTAGGGACAAGAATGTATGTTACTGAATGCCATGCCGTCGACATTTTAAAACACTCTATCCTCTCACGGGCCCTTCCCCTCATTTAGACACCATTTCCTGACCACGGTGGACTATATCTGAATGACTCTTACTATGAAAGTTACTTTTCAGTAAATATGAACATAATTACGTGTCTTAATAGACTTATTCTTTCTGTATTTTTGTAAAGATGGGATCCCGCTACATAGCCCAGGCTGGCTTCAAACTCAAGATCTTCCTGCCTCAGTTCCCACAGCTTCTCCTCCTGTTGTAGGTAGATGCAGGGCCTCCCACGTACTCAATGCTAGGCAAGTGTTCCGCTTGCTCTATCCCCGAGCTATTGCCTTTTTGTATTTTCTCATCATTTACCTATTTAGTGTGTGTGTGCTATTGTTGGCACATGTCTCCCTCTATAGCTTAGGCTGGGCTGGAATTCACAGTGTAGCCCAGGTTACCCTCACACTTACGGCTAGCCTCCTGCCTTAGCCTCCTGAGTTGCTAGGACTGCACATACACACCACTACACTGAGCTCCCTTGGGGTGTGAGGACTTCCGGGACCTGCCCAGTGAAGAAGCGCCGGTGCAAAGTCTGGCAGATGATTGCTCCCAATGTGAGATCTTAAAGCTGTTTCACTAAGGTGTGTGTTTTAGTGTTTCAGCTGCTCTAAGGTCCACTCCGTGCCCTCTGGAGCGCGTAGCCTCCACAGCACACCAGAGAAAGTGTGCTGTTGCCAGAGGCCTCCATCACCGGCCTGGCAATATTGTGAATTAATGCTTATAGGCCTGAAACTGAAGTCAGTCACACAGACTCCTTCAAGGCCCTGCCAGGGAGAGCGTGGATGCTCCCATAGCAGCAGGACCCTCTGACTTGAATTTCCCCACACAGCCTGAAAGCAGCGTGCCAGCATCCTCCCAGCCCAGTGAGACCGTAATGCTGCTGGCGGCTGAGCGGGCCAGCGGCAGTCTCTTAGGGCTCTCAAAAAGACACCAGCTCACGGGAGACAGGTGAGTCCTGTGTTGTTGGCTCCAGCATCCCTCGCCCTAGCCTGGATTCACGGGGCCTATGCCACTCTCTGTCCAGCCAGCTCTAGTTCCTTTTATTCTAGTCAGCCACACAAGCTTGTGCTTGAAAGCAGGTTCTGTGGCACCCAGGCATCTGAATGTTCATTCTACAGATAAACGCCACTGTTTTCAAGTGGCAGGTACACGGTAGAAGTGGAAAAAATGGGTAAATTAATTCTAGGAAATGTGAGTTAGTAAATGAGTCAGTTAGCCACTGACTCACTAATCCCAAAGGCCCCTTGGGAGAGCCTCTCCTTTGTCCTCTCTACCTCTGGCATAAAATGGGCAGTGACCAAAGACTCCTCCTAGCTCCAAGTTTCAACTGATTCCCTTACAAGCAGCCACAGATTGAACCCCCACGTGCAGGGCAAATATAACTCAAATATAACTCATACACTGCCATCAATGCATAATTTGTGTTTTTTTTTTTTTAATTTGTGATTTTTTTTTTTCTACTTGGAGGAGTTTTTTGTTGTTGTTGCATGGCTTTAAAAGCTGTTTTTCTGGACAGTCCCTACAGAACATGGTGCCATTTTAGAAAAGAAAATCTGGTTCTTTCAGATTGCAAAAACAGCTTCACTTTGGAAGTTAAAATGTCTGGTACCTTAGTCTACCTTCTTGATGCCCTCAACCTGGTCCCACTCCTCTCTTCTCCGCTCTCCCCTCCCCTCCCCTCCCCCATGAGTTTCTTATTGCCCCATGGCCTCAGACTTACTATATAGCCAAGGGTGACCTCAAACTCTCCTGATCCTCCTGCCTCCACATCCCAAGTGCTAGGGTTCGAACCCAGGGCTTCAGGAGTACCAGTCAAAGACAACCCACGGAGCTACATCCCCAGTCCTGGCCCCTTGGTCTTGTTTGCTTGTTTGACTCAGGGTTTCACTCTACAGCTCTGAATAGACTTGAAGTTGCTGTAATCCTCCTGCCTCGGCCTCCAAAAAAATTTTCTTTCTTTGGAGCCGACGTGATGGCTCATTGGTTCAGAGCACTGGCTGCTTTTCTAGAAGATTCAGGCTTAATTCCCAACAACCATGTGGCAGCTCACAACTGTTTATAAGTCTAGGTTCAAGGGCTCTAACACACTCTTCTGGCCTCCTCAGGTACCAGGCACACAAGTGGTGCACAGACATACATGAAAACAACCCCCCCCATACACATAAAATAATAATAAAAAATTCATTATTTTTCCGAGGCAGGGTCATCAACTTCCCTTTCCATTTCCCCATGATTTAAGCTGATTTTTCCTCTTAGGAGCTTTCTTGTGTTATTTTGTTATTTGGAGTTTTTGTTTCAGTTTTGTTCTAAGACAGATGATCTTGAACTACTGACCCTCTCCTGCTTCTACTTTCCAAGTGCAGGATTACCGGAGTGTATTAGCACACCTCTGTATTGTTTTGGATTTTTGTTTATTGGTTTGTTTTTGAGACAGCGTCTCACTGTTTAGCTCTTGGGTAGCTTGAGACTCACTATGTAGACCAGGTTAGCTTTGAACTCACAAAGATCTGCTTACCTCCATCTCTTCAGTACTGGGATTAAAGTTGTGCCCCACCAGGCCCTGCATAGTTTGTTTTTATTTATTTTCTTTTTTTTCTGGGACAAAGTCTTACTGTGTAACAGTTTATTTAAGCAGATTTTTTTTTATGTGTATGGGTGTTTTGCCTGTAGAGTGTTTTGCCTATAGAGCCTGTGGGGACCAGCAGAGGACATCAGACCCCCTAGAACTGGAGCCACAGACAATTGTAAGATGCCATACATACTAGGAACCAAACTTAAGTCCTCTGAAGGCATAGCAAGTGTTCTTTACTGCTGAGGTATTTGTTCCAGCCCTTAAGTGGAGTCTAACGCTGTTTTCTTTCCTTTCTGTTGTCTTCTATGACCTGGGACTCTCTGGACTCCCACAGATCCACTGAGACTACCATAGAACTCGACAGCTCCAGCAGCTGCAAGACCCCCCCACTGGTGGCATCTTCAGTTAATATGCCCATGAGAGCTACCTTGACCCACAGCCTCTGGGAACAAGAGAACCCAAACGAGAGCTTCCTGCAGGTTCCTGTAGCCAGCTCCTTAGGAGAGAACTTTTTGGGACCCTAACACCTAACCAGAATGCGTGTCGGCCAGCCCTGCCTCGTATAATGCTGTTTCCCACAGTGGGCCAAGTAACCACGGGAGATATGAGATGGTGCTTATGCCAAGACGCTCCTCTGCTTCCACCAATAAACCTCCAATGGAGTCCTGGTTGTTGTAGGTTGTGTTTTGGTGGGGGCGGGGGCGGAAGCATCTGGGCAGCTGACTCAGGGCTGGCTGGAAATCACCGCTCACTACTTAGAAAAGTAAATGTTAAGTAAGCTCTGGCCTGCCCGGTTCAAAGCATCTAGACCAACCCGAGCTATCCAGCGCAAAGGAAACGGTCTCCTCTGAGGAGCGCTCTAACTTCCATTGTCAAAGAGATGGCGGGACCCAGAGGCAGGACTTTGGTTTGCAGAAACCCTGGGAGGATAGCAGCCACCTAGGAGATGACCTCATGCATTTCAAGAAAGAAACTGAGGATTCATCTCTCTCAACTCCCTGTGTGAGGGCAAAAGCCCAACGGCACGCCCCTGGCCGTGAATAAGGGTTACTAATGGAGATGTGGCTTCTGGGAAGGGCAGTGGTGACTCCCTAGCAAAGGAGTTCTGACCGCCTTGACTGTTCCCTTCTGGAACCTAGTGAAAACAAGCGGGGGGACCTTGTATCTTGCGAGTTTCTGAGCACATATTCCTAATTGTGTAGGCAATGATCAAAACTGCTCCTACTTCCTAGACAATTAGGAATATTTACCCGGCATATACTACCATAATAGCCAATACATGTTGTAGGATATTTAGATTACACTGTGGCCCTCCAGAAAAATTTACCTTGAATCAGGGGGCAGAACCAGCAGCTAGCCGACAGAAATTAGCCTTAGAGAGGCCCACACTTCGGACAGAGAGGATGCACAGGAAGAAAAGGACAGGGAGGAGAGTTTTGAGCTTCCTTTTGGTTCTGGGCCAAGGGAAGAGACGTGTCTCTTGCAGTGTCTCTGGCCGAAAAGGAAGGTCTGCTGGTTATTTCTCTGATCTAGCAGGTTTTCACCCCGACATCTGACTTCCAAGTCTTTGCAGGTAAATAAAACAACAGAGACTTAGTTTACAGCTATAGATGGTCCAGGTTCTGCCACGGCTGATGCCTGAATGGTGGGCAGGGTGCTGAATACAGGGCCATGGGGATGAAGACAATAACTAAAATACCAGCTGCTAAGCTGACAGAAAAACATCAAATACGCATTTATGACATCGGTTTGGTGCCCTGGTTGGTGTGTGATGTTGAGCTCATCAGAGAACAAGAGAGGGCAAGTTTCCTGTCCTTGGAGACAGCCTGGGGCAGCTACTGACCTCTGTTATAAAGATAAAGGAAGGCCATTACTGATTACATGACATTTATGTCACTCAGTCCCCAAATAAAAGTTGGAGGACCTGCCTTCCTGTATCTCACATCTTGTGTGATGCCAGGAGGAAGAGCGTGGCTGCCCTCTTCCCGGGAAGGCGTGGTTAATCCAAGGAGCAAATCCTGGCAAGACTGGGATTAGGCAAGATACTTTCTTCCTCCCATTCCCCCATGAAAAACACAAGCAACCCAGATTTCTTTTGGACATTGTGCTTGTTCCCTATCATCTTGGCACAGGCTAGAGTCCTATGGGACCACAGAACCACAAACGAGAAAATGCCGCCATCAGATTGGCCTAGGGTGCATTTTTTTTCCTGTGGGGCATTTTATTGATTAATGATCAATGTGGGAGGGCCCAGTGCATTGAGCAGGTTGTGTAAAAACATAGGCTGAGCAAGCCAGTACGTAACCTTTCTCCACGGCCTCTGCTTTCAGTTCCTGCCTTGGCTTCCATTGGTGATACGCTATAAGGTGTAAATGGAAGTAAACCGTGTTCTTCCCAAACTGCTTTTGGTCATGGCATTTATCACGGGAATAGAAAGGAAGCTAGGGCAGGCATATTTGCTACTAAATAAACTGGGCATTGCCGGTGCTGGTAAAAGGACATCTAGAAGCTGGACCCATGCGAGGCTGATAATGAAGAGTGACCATACCCCCCAACGTATGCCTGTTCTAGTATTATTGTTAATATATAAAATATAGCTCTCAAAGTTGTCCTTGTGGGGCTAAATCATATGGCATCTGGTGTCTATAAGCACTTAAAGAATACCTGTCTTTACTCCATTTAAACAAAGTCTCATTCTGTGGCCCAGTCTATCCTTGAGCTCACAGCAATTCTCCTGTCTCCACTTCCCAAATGCTAGGATCACAAGTGTGGGCCACCACACTCAGCCTCTAGTGCCTGGGTTTTTGTTTCTTTCAGTTCTCACTTGACCTGCTGTGGTAATCCCATTGGCCAGACTCTAATATCACCATAACATTAACAGATGGCATCATTGGATACTCACATCTGTAAGGGTTTGCAAAGATCTCCCAGTCCACCCCACAACCCACTCGGAGGCAGATACTCGTTAGCACATTTCGTGAATGACGACACCACAGAGAGAACATTTGAGGTCACACAGGGAGTAAGTAGCCAGCATTTTAACTCAGTCTGTCTAATCTAAGCTTACAACATTTGTATTGGTCTCTCTATATAATCCTGGTTGTCTTGAAATTTGCTATAGAGACAGATCTGGCTTCAAACTGCTGCTGCGTCCCAGGTTCTGGGCTTACACGGCATGGGCCACAGCCCACACTTCGGATGAGCCTGTGACCCTCTGCCTATCCATTCCTCTTACACACATATAACAGCAACCTTTCTGAAGCATTATATACATGCCTGCGATAGCTCCCTTCTTCATAAACCCAAACTCTTTGCCATGAAATGACTGATGCCCCGCTAATAACCGCAGGCTCTCTATTTGCTGCAGTTCCCCTGGAATCTTATGCATCCATCATGCCAAGTTCCTTGTGGGTCCCTAAATTTGCATTGTCTTTGAGTACTGCCTGGGCATTTTATACACGTTCACTCCATCCAATGTTCATTTCCTTGCTTTTCCTACACCTCCCAAGATACTGGTGTTTAGTGTGCTATATACTCCGCTACACGTGTGCTCCTCATTTGCATTGGATTGTGGCATTCCTAACCACATTGTAGCTATTTCTTCCATGTCTGTCTCCTTATAGGAACTCTAAGAACAGATGCCATTTCAGAATCAATGAGATACTCAGAAGAGAAGCTAACTTTCACTCAAAGGAGAGGAATTTATTGGAAGGATGCGGGTTGCCACGCAAAACTGTTATGGAGCTTGTGACCCCTGGGAAAAGACCATAAACTCAACCCAATTATAATTAAAAGATTTCTTGATTAGCTGCTAGTAGGATGACAGTCTCTGAGATTGCCTCGAAAGGGGGTTGAAGGAAGAATGTGGGGGGAACTGTTTTGTTTTGTTTTTCAACCAGGTTCCTCTGTGTAGCCTTGGCTGTCCTGGATTCTCTCTGTAGACCAGGCTGGCCTTGAACTCAGAGATCTGCCTGCCTCTGCCTCCTGATTGCTGGGATCAAAGTGTGTGCCACCACCCCACAGCTGAGGGAGGAATTTTAAAAGGGGAAAACCACAAGAAGACCCTTAGGAACACACAAGCAAGTAAAAACCAGTCTGTTCTGACAAGTTAAGTGGTTAAGCAACTCAAAACAACCTTTGGGTATCTGTGTAAGCAAGTTACAGGAGCAAAAAAGCAGTTAGTCGTATCCTAACAAGTAGATAATCACAGCTGTATGTTTCTGGGTGGAATCAGCGAATCAGGTGACTGGGAACTTACCTTCCAGGGACTGGAGTCAGAGCCGAATGACTAGTGGGTACCACGATGGATACCTAGCATAAAATGGAGCTTCTTTAGCCATCACAAAACCAAAGGGACAATTGAGGGACAGCAGTGGAGAGTCATGACGTCACAGAGTGTGATAGCAGGGCATCGCTGGGGAGTCAGGGAGAGGTCAAAGGCTGCAGTAGGGAAATTTAAATTGTTACAAAGGAGCAAACAGAGAAATGGAATTCTGGTGGCTGATAGCGAATGCCCAGTGTGGTTTAACTCTGTTCTCTGGTGGGGGAAACAAGAGAGATTTTACTTCCTTTTTTTTTTTTTTTTTTTTTTTTTTTTTTGAGACAGGGTCTCTCTGTGTAGCTCTGTTTGACCTGGAACTCTCTGGGTAGATCAGGCTGACCGAGATACACCTGCATCTGTCTCCCAAGTGCTGGAATTAAAGATGCATGCCACCACATCTGGCCCTATATTTTTTTTGTTTTTGTTTTTGAGGGACGGTCTCACCCTGGAGCCTGGGTTGGTTTTGAGCTAATGAGACTCATTCCTAAGCCTCCCAAGTTCTGGATTGTAACCTGAGCCACCACTTCCGTGGGCTTTGAGAGCATGCCAAATTTCAAGTTCTGCCACCAAAAGCTGTCCCAGTGGCTAGTTAGATGACAATTAAGGAGGTCAGGTGACATAGGATGATCACCTTATGACATTTTCTCTTCTTGGAAGAGAGCAAGTTTGGTTACTATTTAGTGTGAAAACCCACCAAGCCCTTAGCTCTGGGCTCTCAGCCACAGCACAATCTATGAGACATGGCCCTTATTTCGTCCCATTTTGTAGCATGGGCCAGGCCAGTTGATAACGGAATATTAATATTCTTCTGTTTGCTGTGTTCCTGGAATAAACTGTGTTGTTTTGATGCATTGTTCATTCAGTCCCCCCTTGTTCCTTTTGGGTGTAGTGATGGTTTAAGTCTCAACCACTTCCAGTGTGAGGGGGCAGACATAAGTGTGGAAGCTAGACGCCAACATGGCGTCTTCTTCAATAGCTTTTGCACTCTATTTTAACTTGCTTATGTTTTGTTTAGTATTATTGTGTGCAAGACCGGGAGTGCGTGTGTGCCCTGGCACACGTGGAGGTTAGAGGAGCCTTTCAGGAATCAGTTCTTTCCCTCCCCCCAGCAGCCTCGGATTGAATTCACGTCTCCAGGTTTATGAAGCAGGTGCCTTTACCCTCTGATCCATCTTGCCTGGCCTCCGACTTATTTATTTATTAATTTTTTTTAGTGACGACGAGGTCTCTTCACTAAACCTGGAGCTCACCAATTGACTAGATTAAGAGACCAGCCCTCTCCAGCTGTAGAATTATAGGTACATTGCTTCTTGAATT